CTGGGTAGGTCCTTTGGGCCTCAGTGGGCCTTAGTTTCCTCATCTGAGGATTGCACACCTTCAGGCTAGCATTGCTTCAGGTAAAGTGCCTGGGAAGTACCTGATGCCTACTGGTTATATCCATCTATGCTTGCTCAGTAACCCAGACAGACACAGTCTTTACACACCCTTTATATTTTTATTGAGGAGAAAGCTTTAGCATACAGAATTTATCTTCACATCACAGTAACGCAACAATAACACAATAACAATAACACATTTATTTCCAGCGGGTTTCCTCCCGAGTCTTTGGGAATCCTTGGGCTGCCTTCATACCCCTGCATGCATCCCCCCACCCACCATCCCTCTTTCAGCCCAAGAAAGTGCCCAAAGCCCATAGTTCCTCTTACAGCTCTTGTAGCTGTTACATCACAACAAATATTGAAGATCTGGGAAAGCAGGGAAAAAGGGTCAAAGGGAAGCCCAGGCCCCCTGCCACCAGAGGGCCAGGAGCCAGCTCACTGCTCACCCACTCTTTCCCCGGCTGAGGCTACAAGATCTCAGGGTGGAAGCACCACGGAAACAGGCAGGGCCTGTGCTAAGGGGTCCCTGGAAATGGGGGTGCAAGGCACCTGTCCTTTGCACTTCTCCAGCAGGAACATGGGCAGCAGGGCCAGTATGTCGACCATCAGCAAACAGGGTTCACAGCCTCGAAGAACAGCACCTCCCCTTCTGGCACTCTCTCCTGGAAAAATAGCTGAAAAACAGACAAAATTTTCTTTACAATGTTGTTCACTCCTGCACTGGTGGGGATGAGGGCGGGGAAACCAGGCAACTGAAATGTCCAAAGAATTAAGAGAATACTTCAATTATTCAGTACGCCTCATTGCATAGGTGGCAGCCATTTTAAATCTTGCTGATCAAGAGCTTGCAAGATGATCTCAGCTTTGACAAGATGCACTAGAAAGAAAGGCAGCTAAGTGTTAATAATACTTGCCTCTGTGTGCTGGGTTTCTGAATGTTTGGGTGTTTTTTGTGCTTATAGTTTTCTCTGTTGTCCAAGTTTTCTGTAATGATTAGGCATCACTTTTCTCTTTGGAGGAGGGGGATGCCTTTTGAAAAGGTAGCAACAGGTTATAGGAACCCACCTCCGCTGATCCCCAGCTGAGAAATGTATGCTAAACAAAAGGGCTTCTTACCTCCCGCTGATGAACGGATCTCACCAGCAACCAGCCAGCAGACGAACTGAGTTTCTTTGTGACTCCTCTTCCTCCAGCTCCTTCCTCTTGCTTCCAGGAGGCTCAAAACCCTAAGGCTGGGCTGAGGTTATCTATCGGACTCCGGTGAAGAACACAGGCTTAATTTACTATGCCTCCTTCCCTCTGGCCACAGACACCTTGGCTGCACTTGCCCAGCTGCCAGGCACTGTGCAGGCGGCTCAGTGTCAAGGGCAGTTCAGGCCAGCAGTGGGTTTGGCTGGCATTCTGTGGCCAGTGACATAGTATGTCCTTTTCACTGCACAAGCAGTGCTTTCTGGACCCATGGCAAGCAGCAGGACTCGTTATAAGGGTCCTGAGGTTTATACCCAGAGGTCCCAGGAGTTAGTTCCCAGGAGGCCGTCACCCTGTCAAGCCTTACCGTTTCATTGAAGCCCAGCATCAGGCCATGGCTTCCCACCCATGGGAGAGACGTGAGGCTGCAGTCTCGGCTGCGAGGCTGCAGTCTCTGTAGAGAGAAACTTCCTCTCCCTTCTGACAACTAAGGAACTCCTTAAATTGAAGTTAAAGAGCAGGGCTTGGGCCCTTTCTCTCCTTGTTGGTCCAGGAAAGAAAGGCCAGTTAGGCCTCTGTGAACCCCCAAGCATGGCAAGTCTCCTGCAAAGACCTTTGGCCGGGTGCTGCTGTCCAAGACCCAGCCCAGGGAGACCACTGTCCCTAAGGAAACGGTCACTCCTCACAATGTCAAACTGAGTTGTTGCTGCTTCTTTTTGGTCCTCTTCCTCTTCCTCCTCCCCCATCTTCCAGGCAATATCAAGGGAAACGGTAACACTAGGTTCTGTCCAGCGGGGATGCCCAGGAGGGCAGTGTGGTAAGAGAGGGCCCCAGATTTGGCAAGCTGATTCAAGGGCCCTGATGTAGTAGTCTGTGTGAGGGTGGAACTAGCTTGCTCAGTCAGTCAAGGACAAACCTCAGTCAAGTTGTCCCTTTGACATGCAGCTTTGCCCACCCTCACTGGGCTAGATGTAGGGTCATCTTTAGGGCCCTTCTGCTGGAAGCTGAAGCAAGTGTAGGCTTCTAGGCACATTTCTTGATAGCATCCTGCTCTCCGTCCATTATGTCTAATAATTAGTGGCCCCAGTGGCATTAGGAGTTCAGTGTAGCCTGTCCTTTTGCTCATTGGGGCAGAGCAGTGAGGCATTGGGTGAAGTCCTGGTGAGCCAGTCAGAGTGGATAAAAGCATAGGACACAGGGTTAGGAACAACTAGAAGGGAAATACGAGGGGGTGACCAGTTCATTTATAGGAATAAGCCCAGAAACCTGCTTGTTAGCTTGTGGCAGGACTGAGCAGAGTGCCCAGTCAAGAGGACAGCTATCGCTGACCCCTCCTTTCCCAGGTGGCTTTGGTTGGGCACGTGTCACTCCCTGGTCAGGGCTGCAAGATGGTCTGGAGTTCTACAGGTCTTCTTTAGGTTCTTCAGGTGTGGAACTCCCTTAAGTACTGGTCAGCAAATGGGGCAGGTGTGGCAGCAATAGCAGGGGCAGGGAACGCAGTAGAAGGGTGTGTTCAGGGTGGCCATCTCACCCCAGCACTCACACGCGAATTCGGCCACGTGAAGCCCGGTGCCCCGCCTGTCTTGGAGTGAGGCGGAATAGCACTGGGGGCCGTCTTCGAGTATGGCGTTGCCCCAAACGACCTGCTCGGCGAATCAGGGGTGGTGAACTGTAGAAAGGCGAATTGGTACCTGGAAGGCCCTCCAGCAGCGGGACCCGATTCTGGTTCCTCCGTCTGCTGGGCTGTATTATTGGAGGCGATGTATCTAGGAAATTTTCATGATAGTAGCCAGTAGTCTGGGATGAAGCGTTGGCATAAGTCGGCTCTACCTCCATCAGCTCATCTAGGTCGTCATCCTGGGCTTCATCCTCGGTCTCTTCCTCCTGTTCTGGCTCCTGCTCTGGCTCCTGCCCTGGTTCCTGGCCCTTATCCTCATCCTTATTCTCATCCTCATTCTTCTTCCTCATCTCCTCCTCTTCCTCGTCCACAACATCCACCACCACGATCTCGTCCTCGTCGTCGTCATCCTCCTCCTCCCGTTTCTGTTTCATCTCTTCCTCCTTCTTCCTCATCTCTTCCTCCTTCTTCCTCTTCTCCTCCTCCTGCTCCCTCATCTCTTGCTGAATAGCTCTCGCACGCCTCCGCTGGTCCTTTTCGTGAAGCCTGCGCCTGCGCACCTCTGCATCTTCATCCTCACTGTAGCGCTCTTCTTCTCCACTGCCCTCGACATTAGGGTCTGCAGCAAAAGGGAAGAAGATATTGCGAACCCCAGGGAGCGGGATTGGCTTGGGGACACGCACTTTCCTTTCTATCTCCACACATTCGAGAATCAGCTCATCCAGGTCGGCCATTTCAGTTGACCATAAGAGCTCCTTGCGGAAGAATTCTGACAGGCCTTTGAGGAACTGGTTTTGAAGGCGACAGTCATCCCAAGACAAGAATTGGGCCAGGAACTGAAAAGCATCTGCATAACTGCCGAGGGTACAGTCTCCCTGCTTGAGCTTGCGGATGGCCTTTTTTGCCACACTTGGGGGGATGGGGCCACAGAATTTCTTACGGATTTCATCCAGGAAGCGCGGGAAGTTGGCATGCAGGGGGCTTCCTTCCTGGGTGACTGAGACGGCCCAGTCCTTGGCGTCACCAGTGAAAAAGGAGATCAGAAAAGCCACCCGCTCGGCACCCCCGGGGAAATGATCCTCATGGTCGGCTATGAAGGTCTCTAACCGCATCAGGAATTCAGGCAGGTAGACCGGGTCGCCTGAAAAGGGTTCTAGCTCAGGCCGCTCCAGAGGTGGCACAGGAGGCTGCGCGGGCAGCTCCTTGGAGGCGGGCTGGGGCAGTGCCGGCGGGGGCGGGCTGGGCTGCGGGACAGGGTCGACCTGGCTATCAGAGGTGCCGCAGTCCTGGGTCCCACTGATCAACAGCTCCTCCGGGGCGCATTCGGGCTCCGTGCGTGGGGGAGGCCAGCGCGTGAAGGGCATTTCACCCTCGGGCAAGGAGTCTATGTCGTTGAGCGGGAACTCAAAGTTCTCCTCCGCAAGGACGGGCACAGGCCAGCGGATGTAGCTGGAGACATTGCCCCGCAAGGAATTCACCTCCGCCAGGGCTCTTCCTAGCTGAAGGCCCAAATTGGCATTCTCCCCGCGAAGGGCATTTAATTCCTCGCGCAGGGCCACGTTCGCCATGCGAAGGCTATTGAGATTTCCTGATGCCTCGGACATCTGGACTCGCCTGGGGCCCTGGGTTCGCAGGCAGGGTGGGGGATCCGGGTGGGGGATCCGGGTGGGGGTGCCGAGCTAGGGGCCAAGAAAGGAGGCCGAAATGCGGTGGGGCCCCAGAGGGGAGCGAAGTGCCTCGGCGAGCGCAGGGTAGGCCGAGCCACACCCACCGGGGCGAGGAGGGAGGGCGGGAGCTCCGGGCACAAGGCCCGGAGGCTGAGCCCCGAGGCTGGGCCCGGGGCGCGTTACCTCGTCCGGGGATCGGAGAGGGCGGACGGCGGCGGGAGCCGAGAGGCGCTGAGCGGAAGTCGCGGGTGGCAAGCCAGCAGCCCCCAGGCAGGCCGGGATGGAGCAGACTGCTGCAGGATCTCTCGAGGAAAAATGTTGCGGCTGCGGGATCCCCGCCTTTTAAGCACAGCCTCGCCCCGCCTCCCCACCCCAGCAGGGGCGGGACTTCGGGAACCGCGGGCGCCCAGTGGCCGCCGCGCCCACCCCTCGGCTGAGCCTCTCACTGACTCTCTCCTTCCCTAGCTGCAGCTAACTCGGGTCGGGAAAATGCGACAGCGACTGCCCACTCGAGGTCGTCATGGCGACAGCCAGTGAACGTGTTCCTCTCCTCAGGCAGGCCCCCGAGTGTAGAGGAGCTGCTTCGCGAGGCGCAGCTTAATCTCCAGAGCCGGTTGCAAGGTACCGAGAGGGAGCGGGGCTGCGGCCTGACCCCACAGGCCAGATGTGCAGCGGCTGGAGGGAGGCACAGAAGAGAGGACAGGGACCAGCGAGAGAAAAAGAGAGAACACTGTAAAACCCGTTGAAAAACAAAGCACACATTTTCCATCTTTTGCCTTCTCGACTCACAATTCCAAAAGGTCCTATTTTTATGGTGTTTACCACGCCCCTCCCCCCCCCCCTTTTTTAGTTCCGTACTCCATGGTGGGGGGAAAAAGACAGAAACTGAAACAGGGCAATGGGTCAAATCATTTCCAAAGACAGCTGGATGAGAGAGACTCCTACAGTGTGGCCCACAAGCCTTCCAGACTTTCTCTTGCCACATCACCCATGCATGCCTTTGGAATGCTGTCACTCAGCCAAAAAAGGCACCTGCAAATCTTCTCCTCTGGGCTTCACTCACTCTACTCTTGCATTAACATTGTCCACGTGTCTCCTGGGTAGCTACTGCACTCAGTTCATCCCCAATTCCCAACCCAGTGTTGTTGAGGTCGCAGTGCAGCAAAGCTGGGTCCTCCCCATCCAGAGAAACAGCCCAGTCAGAGTGCCTGAGCAGTCATGCCGCACCCACAGGCAGAGGAGGAAAACCCAGACTTGGAAAGCACACAGAGCTAGAATCTAATTCGACTCATACACCTACCTAGCTGTGTGACATTATGCAGATACAACACCCTCTCTGAGCTTCAAGTTAATCAGTCATCTTTAAAATGGGAATTCCCCACATGGCACACTTCTGTTAGAACTAAAAATAGAGTGGAAGTAAATTGCTTAGTAAGAGTATCTTGCTGCTGGAGACACCCTGATGAGATGTAACATCAACTCCCAGTACATGCCTTTTGGAACATGGGCTGAGCTAAGCACAATACTAAAGCTAATACAAAAGAAAAAAAAAAAGAAAAAAACAAGATGATCCCTGATAAGACTTTCCAATAGGAAAACCATACACATTGACCAGAGGGATTTATCCACCGTACATGGTATTAAAGCTCAGACCTATGAGACAGACTACTGGTGTGCTGTCAATACCTGGGTGGAGGTTACAAGGGGGAATGCATATGTAAGAATTCACTTAAGATTCATGCACTTTACCATAGGTAAGTTATATCTCAATAAAATCTTATACATAAAACCTCAATGCTAAGTCACAAGCTCTATACCCCCTCCAAGCCCCCTCGTTCCATTCAGACCTCTTTTCCAAGCCCAGAAGCCCTTCCTGTACCCCATTCTGATCCTTACGCTTTCTTTTAAGTTCAATTCTTGCCTCATCCAAGAAAACCTTTAACACGAGTTCTGTACTTTGCACCATTCCCTCCATAAGCACTCATATGAGGCACTATGTACCATCCAGTTCAAGAGGACTTGCATAGTTCTGAACTGCTCTTTCTTTCATCTGTTCATTCATTTACTCATTTGTCTATTAGCCTTGGATATATACTTTGTCCACCTAACCAGCCTGAGCTTGTCAACGTAAAGAACCATGTCTCTTAGGTTTCCAGAAGCACCTGGCACGGGGCTGGATCCCCAAGAGGTGCTCAGTAGACACATCTTAAGTGAACATTAAATTAAATGTGAAAAGACATCAGCTCTCATTTATTCATGCCAATGAGGATTAACACTGGTGGAGAATAGAAAATGGCAGATAGCCACTCAGCTGGACTACAGCCATAACCCCCACCTGCTTGCCAAGGCAGTGGTGACCTTAGAGCAGCAAGATTCCAAGGGACACCATGAGCTTTGTGTTTAGATAAGAGAGGAACTACTGTGCAGTAAGAGAATCAGTGTGTTCTGTGTTGTCAGCACAGGCAGGATTAGGACTAGTGGGAGGAAACTTAGAGGGAGGTAGATTTCGCCTCAAGATAAGGAAGAACTTTCCTGACACCTGACAGCCCCAGCTGTCCTTGGATGGAATCAGTGGCCTTGGGAGGAAGGCTGCCTCCCCTTCTCTGCCAGTGTGTTCAGAGTCTGAAGAAGCACACTGAAGGGCTGCTGAGGAGAAAGTCTGTGCCCAGAATGAAGTGTTGGACCAGACAACCTTTGAGGCTACTTCTGACTCCCCTGCCTGTTGATTCTTGACTCCCACTTCCTTCATTTCATCGGATTCCCTCAGTTCCTTTGAATTCATCACTTAAATGAAACCAGTTCAAATCTCATGCATCTTTCTTACTCCTTGACAATACCCCTGAACTTCTTCCTCCTCTGCTACTTCCTCTGACTTCCCTCTCCTTCACCTAAGCTCCCCTGGACTTGTCACCACCTGTAGTGGGACTAAGGTGCAGGAAGCCAGGCCCTTGGAGTCTCGAGCAAGAGTTCTTGACATCCAAGGGAGCACTGCACATTGGACTTCCCAATACAAGTCTCTCTGTGCTTCACACAGGTCACTTCCCACACAGGGCTGCAGAAAACCTGAAAAGCTGCAAGGCTTCAAAGAGAGGACCTTACAGCATAAAGTAGCAAAAGGTGTCTGTGTCCTGAGCCTCTTCTCCAAGTTGAGCGCAGTGGGGACCACTGAGGCAAAGGCTTAGTTCCAGGACCAGCACAACTCAAATTTATCGATTATCTTTTCTCCTTGGCTCTCATAGCCCCAGGGAGTATGCATTTTTTCCATTTCCAAATCCAGAGGCTCAGACGCCAGGAAATATCTTAAAGAAACAATGCAAATCAGGCCTGGCAGCTAGAGCAGGAGCCCTGGCTCATGGACCCTCCCCGGCCCAGCACTAGGCCACGGCCCCCTAGAGTGTGTATCCACTGTGCTGTTTTTCAGAAGAATATGAGGAACAGTACTCGAAGGCCAGACTGCTGGGGCAGACCTTCCGCTCTGCTGATGAGGCCCCTGAGCCCACCCCTAGCCCAAGGCCCCAGTCTGCCAGGCGTCTGGAGTTTGTGTTGATGGTGAGTTGCCTCGTTCCCTGCCTGGGACAGCCAGCATGCAGAGCTCACCCTGCACCCATCAACAGGGGGACTTGAGCTGCTTATATTATCCACCAGAAGCCGCTGCTCCCCTCTGCTCACGAGCAGAGCTGCCCTGAGGCCTGGCTGATATGGGCCTTGCACAGCAGGTGTCTGGCCTGGCAGCCTATCCATGTTTTCCTGCCTCCCAGACAAAGCCTCCAACCACCCTGCTTAGACAAGCCATCCTGCGGGCATGGCTCATTTCCAGTCAGGAGCACACCCTTTCCATCACCTTCTTTCCCAACAGCCTACAAAACAGCAGCTGAACGAGGATGAGACTACCACCCAGGGTGTGAGGGCCCCTGAGGCCTCCCTGAGCCTGTCTACCACGGCCGACAAGCAAGTTGCCTGGAATAGCCCCTTCCCTCTGCCCATCCTAGAGGAGAAGCGGTGGCTTCAGCCTTGCTCCACGCACTCTGACATTGTGCCCATCAACATCTCTGGTAGAGTTGCTTAGCACCACTTGTGTTTGCTTCCTTCCATGCCAACTACAGACCATCCTCTCCAAATGCACTGGGTGCTGGGGGAGGGAGCGAGACTTTCTTTGCTACTGGCTCACCCTGCACTGTCAAGGCCACAGCTCTTGCCAGGGAACAGAGGCATGCAGAAGAGGGGGCTCTGGCTGCTCTTTCTTCACCCTCTATTGGCACTAGCAAGTTAACTGAGACCATTTGATAGCAAACAAATTGATCCTAACAGAAAACTCTGAAACTATGAACTTGTATGCTCTTTGCAGCATCTATGGAAATTTGAAGTGTTTGAGCTACATTTGGGTTGGGGAAAGAAAACTTCTTATGCCAGAAGCCATGTCTGGTTAGGACTCTAAGGGAAAGTGTGCGGTTCAGAATGCTTGTGGTAAAAGGAATGCTCATACCCAGGGTATGGGCCATGGGCCTATGGCACTTTAAGTTGACACTTGATCTTCTAGTGAGGTGGGCCTCCTCAACTGGTATGGCAAGTATTTAATAAGGGAAGTAACAGAAAGAGGCCAAGGCCAAAAACACCAAAGAGGGGCCCAGTAATAACTTGAAAGTGGGAAACATGATGTGTGTTTAGCTCAGTTGGATATGACTTTGGTGATATGGTACACTTATACCACACACATTATTAATTTGTGCTCCACATTCCATTGGCTGTAAGTGAAAGAGGAGGAAGGTTGGTTATTTCAGAAGGGGATAGGGTCAGCGATCTGGTGAAATAAAGACTTCATGACCCAAAAGGATCAGAGGCACCCTGTGAGCCACATTGGCCTGTGATATGCTGGGAAGAGTTGATGAAGAGAAGGAGGACAGCTCTGGCCACATGTGGTCACATTCCCTGGATTAAGGATCATCCAGCGCCACTGGCGTCCTCTCAGGAAATCAGAGGCAAGAAATAGAGCTCACAGCCTAAGAAGATGTATAAAAAGGAGTAAGAGCTGAGAGGAGAGACTCACAAAGTGACAGTGGACACTTTGTTTCTAAACTTCTATCTTACCTGCAATAAGGCTGGCCCTGAATTTTGTCCACAGAGTCCCTTGCTGTGAGGCTGACAGAGGAGGGTTTGGTTAAACAACTGTTGAATGAGAGATGGTGAGGGGAGCAGTAGACTTCACCCCCCATCTCACCCTGCCCCTGGCCCAGCAATGCCACAGGAACAAAGACTGACCAAGTGCTTTAGGAGAAATAGATCTTAGTCACCACCAAAATGTCATCAAACGTGGCTGGAGGACAGACTGTCAGGCAGCTTCCTGGATGGTGGGGGGAAGTGAAGCAGCTTCTCTTGGAGACACTGTCCTCTGGCACATACAAAGGCTTTCTTTACGAAAAGATTACAATCAAGCGACCTCTAGTCTCAACTTGTCTATCTATAGTAGTGGTTCCCGCCTCAAGCTGTACATCTTAATAATCAACCACCTGGGGAATTTGAGAAATAGCTTCTACCTGGGCCTTCCTCCCAAAGAGTTAAATGTTCTGGGCTGGGATCCAGGTATTGAAGTTTCAGAAGCTGCCTGGTTTATTTCCACATGTAGCCAGGATTGAAAACCATGGCTCTCAGCCACCTAATACTCACAGGTGACCCTGGGTGTGGCCTATGAAAGCCAGCATGTATGTCTTGGGGCTCTGGGTATCTGGGGTCATGTTGGGAGGGATGTGGAAGAAGGGCCACCTGCCTGGATGCTATTCATGCTCATCGCTACTGCCATCATCCCTTCTCTCTGCCTCAGGCCCATTTCCACTATACCGTAAACAGAAACCAAGATGCATCCAAGTGTCTTTATTTTGGCTACAGGGCAGCAGTTTGATAAACATGCAAGTTTGCGACACTCATTGTTTAATACAGAGACAGCCGTGAACCCCAAGTCCACCCTGAGGCGGAGGCGGACCATTATTGGATTCTCTAACTTTTCCCAGCGAGACCAAGGTGACCCCACCACAGCTGATCCCCCAGACCCTTCCCCTTGCTCACTTCCTCCAATCCTGCCACCTGGGTGGTATTGTGGTGATGGGGAACAGGAATAATTTGAGGGGGTGGGCTTTGGATATTCTGAAAAAGCCAATGTGGTAATTAAAGATAACAAAGGGACCCTGGCTGGTATAGCTCAGTGGACTGAGCACTGGCCTGTGAACCAAAGGGCTGCTGGTTCAATTCCCAGTCAGGGCACGTGCTTGGGTTGTGGGCCAGGTCTCCAGTAAAGATAACCAAGGGCCTTTGGTCAAGGGCAGCAACCAAACATGAAGAGCCGGTCACCCAGGCTATAAATTTATTATGTCATTGTTTCCCATTATAAATGGAACATAACTATATATGTCAAGTTTACCTAAGTAGGTACAGGGGGAAATTATCATTAAAAGCACCATCTTAACAGAACCATTTCTGCTGTTAAATGAATGCCATCCAAAGAGCACAGATCAGAGATGTGGATGCAAACCCAGGCTCTCCATTCCTTAAGCATGAGGCCTTGGGCAAGTTATGGAACCTCTTTCAGCCTCAGCTTCTTCAACTATAAATTGGGGATAATGATACCAACCTGATGGAGATGTCATGAAGATTGGAGTTATTGTATATAATTTGCCTACCATGTGCCTGGTACATAGTGTGCATTCAGCAGATGGTGCCTGTTACTATAAATTTTATCACAACAGTAGTAGTAATAGTAATGATGACAGAACAGTAATAACTGTTGTGGGTATGAGAAATCTTGGGAGATTTTGAATTTAGGAATAGTTCCCTCATATCTGTATCTTATCTTAAGTCTTCATGTGGCAAAGCTAAAAAGTGACAGGTGCCAAAAATGCAACTACACTCTGTGCTTTCCAGCTATGGCATACTCCAAATTCATTGCTGGAGCTGAAAGTCACACAGTGCTGTCTTTTATAGTTCAAAAGCCTCTGCTCTCATCTTAGGAGAGGTGAACACTGAGGTCTATGACAGTTTCATGAGCTTGGGGTGAAAGCCCAGGAAAAACGCAAGGTAGTCCCCACCTGCCACTTCAGCTCCGAAAGGAATAATCAGAGCTGGAAAGTTCTTGGCAGCCATTTGGATAATTCAAGGGCACCCTGTAACTCACCATGTCGTGATGGGCAAAGTCCCAACTTCCCCTGCATTCTCATCTATGGAAAGGAAGAACCAAGGAATTCTGACCAAGTTGTTGGCAAATGTTTCTTGGCAAAAACTTGGTGCTGCCATCACGGGAGCTGCTAGGGGATCCCTGGTTGCACCACTAATGTTCTGTGTTTCCCTCCTCCAGGTCACAGCAACAGCCCCACAGGCAAGGTGGCTCGCTCAACCAGCTCAGACATCAAGCACAGTCATTCCGTTCCAGAAGGCGTTCATGGAAGAGTTGCAGTCAGTCAGGAAGTTCATTTCCCAAATCTCAGTTCACCAGTACTGAGAAATCCTTCTAGTGATCTGGAAGAACCTCTCCAGGTGCGTGGTGGCACCAAGCCTCCTGGCATGGAAAGTGTGGGAATGGTATATAGTGTCCCCAGTTCTTGCAATGGACCAACAGAATCTACATTCTCTGCTTCCTGGAAGGGAGATGCCTTTACCTATATGACTCCAAGTGCCACCAGTCACAGCAATCAAGTCAATGAAAATGGAAAACCTCCTTCCTCTGGGAATGCATGGGTTTCTGTGCACACACTGCCACCTCTGGTTCCTAAGGAGGCTGCCACCGTCTTTGTCATTCGTGATAACCCAGCAGGATGCAGTGGATCAGCTGGCTATTCTGAACACCCTATGCAACGAAGGCAAGTATTGGAGCGACCCTTCAAGATTGGCCTTCTGACTGGTGGTGGTACCTCAAGAATGGAGACAGGCCCAGGTGGGGCCAGCAGGTTCCGGGAGCGGTCATTGTCTGTGCCCACAGACTCAGGCACCACAGATGTGGACTACAATGAAGAGCAGAAGTCCAGTGAAGCCTGTGCCCTGCCTTATGCCAGTACAAGTTCTGAGGGCAGTAACAGTGCTGACAACATTGCCTCCCTTAGTTCCCAACAGGAGGCCCAGCATAGAAGGCAGAGATCCAAGAGTATCTCACTCAAGAAGGCTAAAAAGAAGCCTTCCCCACCAATGCGCAGTGTCTCGCTGGTCAAAGATGAGCCAGAAGGTGGGTCAGCACTACCCAAGGATCAGAGGCCCAGGAGCCTTTGCCTCTCCTTGGAACACCAAGGACATCACTCATCCCAGGGTCACCCAGCTGTGCCTACCTTCAAAGACCCAGAAGGTACACAATTCTCCCACCATTGGTATCTTACTGACTGGAAATCTGGTGACACCTACCAGTCCTTGTCCAGCTCCAGCACTGCCACTGGCACCACGGTCATTGAGTGTACTCCAGTTCAGGGCAGCTCAGAGTCTCTTGCCTCCCCTTCTACCTCCAGAGCTACAACACCTTCACAACTCTCCATCGAGGTAGAAGCCAGGGAGGTACCCTCCCCAGGAAGACCCACTGGGCTGATGTCACCCTCCAGTGGATACTCCAGTCAGTCGGAGACACCAACACCCACTGTCTCCATGTCCTTGACCTTGGGCCACTTGCCCCCTCCGAGTGGCAGTGGTCGGGTGCGTCCAGTGGTACCTGAGAGGAAGTCATCACTACCCCCAACTTCGCCAATGGAAAAAATTTCCAAGTCACGACTATCATTTGACCTCCCACTGACCTCGTCTACCTATCTGGATCTGTCTGGGATGAGTATCTCTATCCGAAGCAAAACCAAGGTGAGCCGGCATCACTCAGATACAAATTTTGGGGCCAAGCTGCTCCAGAAAACTAGTCCCAATCAGCCAATCATGCCCATGGTTACTCAGTCTGACCTACGTTCTGTTCGCCTGAGGTCAGTCAGCAAATCTGAGCCAGAAGATGACGTTGAGAGCCCTGACTATGCTGAGGAATCAGGAGGAGAAGTCTTCACTTTGCCAGAGAGAAAGATGAAACCTCCCATAGCTGAGAAACCCCCGCTGGCCCGAAGACCTCCAAGCTTGGTCCATAAGCCACCATCTGTCCCTGAGGAGCACTCTCTCACTTCACCTACATTGGCTATGACCCCTAAGAGCTCAATTCAACACATGAGGCCACTCCCTCCAGACATCTACACCGTGGTACAGAAACCAAAGTCTTTCAGCTTCCCTGAGACCAGAAGCCCAGGGGAGTCAACAGCATCATCATCTGTTGTTTTCACACCTTTTGCCAGTTCCTCTGGTGTCTTCTGCTCAGGAACACAGCAACCTCCCCAGGGAAGCACAGAGGATGAGGGCTCCAAGGTAAAAGCTCTGCCTGAAAGAATTAGTCTCCAGAGCCAGGAACAAACTGAGAAGAAGAAAGGCAAGATTCCACCTCCTGTACCAAAAAAGCCCAGCATTCTCTACCTGCCTCTAACCTCACCTACAGCTCATGTGGAGGCCTACGGGGCTGAACCAAGGCTGCCTGTCAGCCCCATCATCACCCTGGAGGAAGATGCCAAGTGTCCCCCAACCAGTGACCACCTGCAATCACCTGGTACAAGGACCACTTCAACACCACATGCTGATGGTGAAAGGGAGGCAAGCCCTCTGGGTTAGTAAACTATCTGCTGGCTTTTCCTTTCAATACCAGGAGAGATGAGGCTGAGAATGGAGTGCCAGAGACAGAAGCCAGTGCCCCATGATCCTGACCCTGGGATGACCTAAGTCAGTAAGGACATATCTTAAGGGTTTGGGTTACTCTAAATAGGCCTCACTGCCCTTGGGATTGGAACTGACCCAGGGACAGATCTCTAAGGCTTGGTTTGAGCCAGTCTACCCTGGAACCCCCAGTACCAAGGTAATGAAATGAAACTAGGTCTTAGCATCCTAGGACTTTAGGAGCCTATCTACCAGTCAGGCATGCTTGCCCTAAGAATGATCTCTCTCTTTCTCTGTCTCTCTCTCTGTCTCTCTCTCTGTCTCTGTCTCTGTCTCTCTCTCTCCTTCGCTGTACAGTACTTTGCACTAGCCACACTGAGTTTAATTTCATGCATAAGACTGGGTACCCTCCCAGGCTGAGTTCAAGTGACACGGTGGGCTTGCAGGCTTCTGAAACAATGAAGTGTATTACCAGTAGCAGGCTTTCGACAGGAAAGGGGGCTCACTTTCTTAGATGGTTAGCTCTTTCTGGAATAATAAGACTAAGTTAGATAATATTTCTCATCTTTTGGGGGTTTCTTCCTTGTCTCTTTTTGTTTTCATTGTGGCAAAATACACATAACATAAAATGTACCACATTAACCAATTTTACATGGACAGTTCAGTTGTGTTAAGTATACTCACTCTGGTGCATCCATCACCAGCATCCATCTCCAGAACTCTTTTCATCTTGCAAAATTGAAGTCTGCACCCATTAAACATTAACTCTCCATTGCCCCCTCCCCTCAGCCCTAGCAACCACCATTCTGTTTTCTGTCTTTGAATCTGACTCCTCTCAGGACATCATGTAAGTGTAATCATACAGTATTTGTCTTTCTGTGTCTGGCTTGCTTCACTAAGCATAATGTCCTCCAGGTTCATCCATGTTTCTCTTCCTTTTTTGAACTCTCAACACCAAGCATCAAAATCTTTTTCTTGTTGTTGTTATTTTTATTTATTTGTAGAGAGAGGGGAAGGGAGGGAGAAAGAGAAGGAGAAAAACATCAATGTGTGGTTGCCTCTCACATGCCCCCTACTGGGGACCTGGCCTGCAACCCAGGCATGTGCCCTGACAGGGAATCAAACCAGTGACTCTTTGGTTTGCAGGCTGGCAGTCAATCCACTGAACCACACCAGCCAGGGTCAAACATTAAAATCTTATGGCCTTCCTTAAGCTGATTCCGACTTTCAATATAAATTACATCATTGTGACTAAAACATTCAAACAAATCAAAGTCAGAGATAATTTTAGAATATTCTTCCTCAAACCCCTCAGACTCACTCTGAAATTCAGGTAGGTACCACTCCCACCCACTGGTTGAGTCACTACTTTAGATTTCTCTCTGACTCTTTTATTTTTAAAAAGGACCCATTTAAAACAAGAGAATGCTCAAGCAGCCCATTGTAACAGACCAGGCATGAGAGAGCAGGGACCCAGGCTGGTCTTCAGCACTCAGTCCACCTTGTCCAAATCACTAACCTTCTGAACATCATGTTCCTTTGCAGAATGGAGACATTAAGAGTCTCCACCCTGCTGCTCTTCCAGAGTTGCTTTGAACATCAAATGAAATACAGACAAGAATGTGCTTTGTCTCTACTCTCGTGGTCAAAGTAATTCCTTCTGATTCTTATACCTAGGGAGTACCATGGAATCCAGCACCGAAGAGAAAAGTGTTATCAGTGATAAAACAGCTGAATGGATTGCAGAAGATGATGATGACGTGTTTGTGGCTTCACGCACAACTGAAGATTTATTTACTGTGATACACAGGTCTGGACCAATTACCTTAATTCCTGTTGTAATTGTCTTCCCTTTCTATACCAAAAGACAAACTGCTATCTCTAAGCAGCCATTAGAATTGAAACTGGAGACAAGTTCAGATACCCACATATGTGAAAGCAGTCCAGGGCCTCACGTCGCCAATTCACTGACATCTTTGGGTGAAGTGGAGGAGGGGCGGGGAAGGGAGGACCAGGTGCCAAGTGAGAGGCCCCTCGTCTCCTAGCAACTGCTCAGCCTATTGTGGCTCCATCTGCTTTCTCACAGCTTTGTCTACAGTTGGAGACATTTAACCCTTTACAGAATTCTTTGTACAAAAAAAATCTTATCAAGAAGTAAAGTGGGGCACTAGGCCAAGTATCAGGGCAGGAACTTAGGTGAAGGGGGGACCAGATGGGGACCCAGTTATTGGAAAGGGACACAAATCAGGGGCTCAGTGAGGAGGAAACTGGAAATAACCCAGTTATTGGAGCTAGAGAACCAGTTTAGAGCAGGGTCAGTTCCCAGGCTGTCTTGATCAGTCACTGAGCTTGACTCCTTAAATTCTTCTTCAGTCCCAAGAGCTGGGCAGGACTGAGCCTACAGGCACAGGCCAATGACTCCAGCTGCAGGCATTGAAAGGAGTATAGGGAGAGGGACCAGAAAAGGGATCCCAAGCACTTAGTGGAGCGAGAGAAAGGTAGGGAGTGCAACTGCTTGCAAGGCTGCTGCATAGAAGTTCCCAGATCACGTCACTGGTATACATGAACTTATATGAAGCCTTAGGAAATGTCTGCCCCATGAATTCACTCAAAGCAAACTTTCTCTTATTTAGGTCCAAAAGAAAGCTTCTTGGCTGGAAGGAGCCCGGGGAGGCCTTTGCCGGAGGCAGCAGACCGAGCTCCTACTCACCAATAAGGAACACAGCTGATCCTCCAATTAGTGAGTCAGCTGCCTCTGCAGGGTCAAGTGGCAGTGCCAGTCTAGATGCTGGCAGAAATGATGATTTCAAGGCCTTGCTACAGAAGAAGGGAAGTAAGGCAACTCCAAGGTCCCGCCCCTCAGCAGCTGAACTGCTGAAGACCACTAACCCACTGGCTCGGAGAATTATCGCACAATTTTCAAAAGACTACGACACCACCGATAGCCCCAGCACCTAAGCCCTGAGTTAATCAGGTAGGGTACTAAACTTGAGTAGAAAAGGGGGAAGAGAAAAGTTTTTAAAAAGAAACCATGAACATATCAAAAGAGCCTACACTTCTTTTACTTTAACTCACATTTTGGACAGCAGGAGAGAGACCACTTTATCTAGAATTAAAGTCATCAGGCACTTTAATCATGCTCAGACATTTTACGGTTTCATACTTAACATCTTGCCATTACTGACTATGGATCTTCTCCTTACCTTATTTCCCGCCAGTGGTATGCACTAAGAAGAAATTCTCAGATACAAGGACACATGCCATCTTTTAAAACAATGACCGGCTGCTCCACCCATGGCTCCTGTCACTGAGGGGCACAGTGTGAGAGCAGACTGAGGGCTGCCAAACCTGGGGACCTGGGGAGCCATTGCTGATACATTTTCCTGGTGAGGCCTTGATGACTTTGTGGGAAAACAGGAAGACTCTGATGCCTCTTCAACCATGGTGTAGCTCTCTCCCTCTAGAGGTTTGCAGGTGTGCACTTACTTCGGCATGGGGTTGATTGTATGGCTTTTGTGAAAAATATGAATGTTACTCTGTCCTGAACTTCATGCCTTCTGCAGTTTGATTGTCTACACGGTGATCAGGGTGATGAGTTTCAACAACATACAGATCCTTCCCCCAACCCCTTAGCTTGAAAAGGTCAGGGTCAAGTTGCTTTGTATGAACCAAGCTCGGCCAACAAACAAGGCAGTCATTTGTTCACTCTGATCTCGTCAAGGGGACTTGCACTCTCGCCTTCAGATCCTTCAAGTGTCTGTCAACAGTGATAGCTAGGATCTGTGCCCAGCTTATGCTGCATTCGAAGAACTCTCATATCATTTGCATATAACATTCATTACAGGAAGTAATTAGCTAAAGGAACAGCATCATGAAAGGCTCAAGGAGGAGAGAAAGTAAGTTTGTGGTTGGCTTTGTTTTGTTTAAAGGAAGTCTTATGATGGTCTAAAACTGAGAACGTATAGACTAAAAGGATATATCCAGAATCTAAAAGGCAGCCTTGCAAGTTGCTATGGCCCATAACACACGCAAAAAAAAGCCTACTTTTTGCCATTTAGCTTATGCTGTTTGACCAACTTTCTGTTAACCATGTGGGGACAGAGGGTAAGAACTGGGCAAATGGGTTGCTGACGGAGCCTCGGAACAATCATTGGGATCCCTCCAGCCCCACCTCAAAGCTTATAGGCACTAACTGTTCTTGTCAGTTCAATTTCCTAATCAAAGCAAGAGCAGTGATTCATTGGATTTTCATATGTCTGGTTTCGGGGGTGGGAACAGACAAAGCACTGAATAAAGAAAACTGGCTGACCAGCAATGGAGGGGTAATTGTTCACCATCTCTTAGGGAAAAAGAAGCCACATGCAATTGTAGACTGTTCCACAAAGAGGGTTCCCAGACCCCTTCCTCCTTCACCCCCCTCTACCCAATAGATTCATTGGTCAGCCTCCTGGAAGATGCAGAAACTGCCCCAGAGACAAGCAGATCTTGATTTTGATAGGCTATGTTACTCACCAATGAGAAGCAAGCTCTTAACACAACTGCCCACACTCCAGGGGACAGAGCACCTAAAAAACCACACTGGGTGCTGAGAAGATTTAAACCTCTCACACAGAAGCCCTAGGCCTAGGCCCTTGGTTGGTACAGTTCTGAATTCTAGACTTCTGAGTATGGGCCAGACCCACATACTCCCTTGCAATCAGCACTTTCCCCGATTTAGACAGAAGCCACTTAAAATAATAAACAGCAAAATTCCAGGTGCTTTTGAAGGTATTCAAATTATTTGGTTTAAAAGACCTGACCTAATTTCAGGGGTTTTACCTGAAATCAAATATATTCATTTCTGGCCTTAATTTATATATGAATGCCACCCTTGTCTGTCCCAGACTCAGAATTCCAAAAGACGTAAACATCTTGCTCAGTAGGAAAGTGAAGGAGAGTTTGTGCTTTTGCCTAACAGAGGTAAAAGACAGCCAGGTCCTTCTCCTTGGAAACCATTAATAACAGCTGAACTCTAAAGCCAAGTATGAGACTCATGCAGTATAGGACTTATTATTTCTGCTGATTTTTCTGAAAGCTTCTTGTTTGCTACTTCTAGTGGGGTTTGCCTCTCCCCTCACCTTGCTACCTCTGGTGGTTTCCCCAAAAGATTCTAAGCTGAATACCCAGACACCTGTATATTTTTCAATTACCTTGAGTCTTACTTTCCTCTACAACACTCTGTATGCCTGGAATTTTGAGAACATCTTCTACATCACTGTGACCCTCAAATGCCCAGTGGTGTTCCCATTAGCACATGAGGATTTCAGGCAGAGATTGTGTGGTTAGAGGTAACATGGAGGACTAGAAATATTCATTTAATGTTTTGCAAGAGGTGGACCTAGTTCCCAACAAACAGCAACCAAACTGTTTGATTTCTACCAATCATCAATGAACATAACAGTGAACATCTTTCCTACTCGTAACACTCAACCTCTCTCCTCCCCTTGATTATCATAACACCAACTCTTTCTCCCACCCAGGCACAAACCACAGTATTTGCTGCCTTCTGCACCTACTCTGCTGAGACTGGAGAGGAGAGGCTGAGAGCCCCTCCAGAAAGGCTTTCAGAGAACCTACTACTGCCACCATTACTATTATGAGTAATAATGATAACAATTTCTGAAGGTGGAATACAGAAGAGGTGCAAGTGACATGAAGTTGGCCCCAGGAGGTCAGCTTCCATTCAAGTTGTTTCTGTCCCTTTGTTTCCTCTGATTCCAACCAATATCAGCAGGCAGTCCAGTCAAGAGTGCAGGAAGTCATCCCCAGGAGAGGTTAATCGGTAGTTAAGAGTGCTTTGCTCTTGGTGGGTATTCATTACATATTTGTGGTTCAGATGTTGAGGCTAGAGGGCAAGTCATTCTCAGCATAACAAGAAGCTTTGCTGGTGTCCCCTCTCCTTTGCCTGCCTCAGTCTCTCTCCTGAGACTTCCTCCTGGCCCCAACTTGCCCCTTAGCCACAATCCCTGTGAACTGCAGCTGTAGTTGACAACTCACCCTTGAAGGAGGCAAGAGCAAGGCAGCAAATTAATTCATGTTAGCTTAATGACCACAGACTGACCAATTGATCTGGAGACATCACCTTGAATGTGCAAAGACAGAGGAGATTCAACAAGCATGTTACCAAACATCCATTTTAACTGTAGACAACACGGTTTGGATCTTGGTCCCACTGTACCTATCAATCTGAGCAGATTTCTCCACGCACCTGCCTTCTTCCTCACAAATGCACTCTTCCCTAAAAAGATGAGCTCATAGTCAGTGCTCTTTTCCTTACCAGTGCAGCCTTTCAGTAGCACCAAGTGTGTAACACAACGGTGAGCTTTCAGTTTAATATGATTTGCCAGGGCCAGGCCTGGAGTGAGGTAAGTGAGGCGTGTGGGGTGCAACATTTAAGAAGGCGCCCACTCTCAGGGCTGTGCAAGTGCCTTACCCTTGTCCTGGCTCTGTGATTTGCACTCCATAAAGTACTATCAGTTTATCTTCTTCCTAAGAACAAGTATGGTTTTCTGACTTTGGGGGCAACTCCCTGCCTGTTGTTGCACCAGATATTTTTATTGTCATCTGTTTTTCCACTACTCTAAACTTTTGTATGCCTACATCCGTCAAAGAATCTTCATTATTATCAGAAAACATGGTTGCTTTCTAAGTAACCTGCTCCAAGTGGCAAGTTAGTACCCATTTTAGTAAGGGATGCCGACAGGATAGCCCATCAGCAAAATAGTGAATGAGTTGGAGGTCTGGTCATTGGGATCCTTGGTCTCCTCTTTCTGCTCCATTCTTCCCAGACCTTCTTCCCAGCACCAACTCTTCTGAGTGCCTCCTAGTTTGTTCTCTTCCTAGCTAAGAAAAGTGTGCTCTCAGGAAAGGGATAAATTCCTTTACTTTGAGGTTATAAGGCTCAATGCTACCTCTTTTGAAGGTTGTTTGCAGTTTAACAGGGGAAAAAACCTTATGCCAAAGGAATGAAATTCTACTTGTAGAATTTTTAGGCATCAATTAGTTGCAGAAGTGTTTTTTTTTTTCACCATGGAAAGGCCAAATTCCCTGACAGCTAACTCCAGAATATGACAAATACATTAATCTCCTGGAATTATTATAGTAAATTATTGATAATCGATTCAATTGTCCTGATATCCAGTGCTGTTCAATACAGCTACAACCAAGGGACTCTCAGAAATGCTACTAAAAGCCACTAAAAAGGCCTAGATAATTCATATTGTACATTAACATTTTTACACAAATGAAATTTATGATATTTATCATTCGAGTAAAAACAATAGAATTTAAAGAGTTTGTGAAGATGTGTCCTGTTTGTGAAAGGTGAAAGTGTCCAATATTGTCCAATCAATGTCAGTCGTCCAGTATCGGTGGTGACTATTAAACTTATTGGAGATACAAGTTTACTGAACATGAGCCTCTGCTCCCCGCCATCTATGTTTTGTGCTATCACTTCAGCTTGGTGTGAGGATGAGACCAGATCACCCCAAAACCCTTTGTGCGTACTTCAGCTATAAGTAATAAGGGATTTAAACAGACAAGAGAGAGGAAAAGAGGTACAAACAGCTGCCTTTGTCAAAGGGCAACAAAAATGATAATTACTTAAATAATGACATTAAATTGAAAAAGTTTTAGAAGACTTGGAAACAGATTTATAGAGGAATACACTAGTAAATGGTTATAGACACACATTTGAGACATTTGTAATATGTGTAGCAAAAAGGAGTTTGCATAGATAATGGGTTATGTGAAATAGGTATGTATTTTGTTCAGCGAAACCCCAAATCTAAACTAGTGCCTCTCAAAATATGGTACCAGGACTAGCAGCAGCAGCAGAAGCCCTGGAAGGTATGTGGGGGGTGGGGGGTGCGTGTGGGCACGTGCGCATGCACATGTGTCTCTTCCAGTGATGTTACTTCTTCAAGCTCCTGGATCACTACAGTCACAACTCTCCAAATGATTCCAACCTTCCCATAATTTCTGCTATCATTACAAGTGATCAGTCTCTGGCTAAGTGATATATATTGTCATGTTGTTGTGTGGTGTTAAGAAATCATCAGTTTGAATCAACTACTTACTGTTCTCTAGAAGGGCTCTGGCAGAAGTATATTCAATTTTAAGATTTTGCCTAAATAGAAGAATTTGATATCAACAAATCCTCAAACAAAATATGAACTGGAACAACCAGTTAACTCCTCTTAGCCTCTCTTTAATGCCAAGCTTTATAGAAATTTATTCCTCACGTGGTGTTGAGCTTTTCTAATGTCCAATTTTATAGAATGTTATGCATGCAAACACAGCATCGTGCTCATTGTACAAGTCACCCCAAACTCATTTCCTCCTCTGTATGTATGATGGTGAAGAAATATCAATGTGTATGTTCTTATCTCTCCTGATCAATTGTAAATTGCAAATCTTTCATTAATTTTTAAATGAGATATATTTACTCTGGCTAGTAGTTAAAATTTTATTCTTTTTATTATATTTCATTGCTACTTTTTTCTACTGGCTCCAAATCTTACTTTGGGGAATATTTCTTATTTCTAGATTGTTGTATTTATCTTATTTCTATATTTATCTGTAGTCATGGAATACTAGAGCTCAAAGGGACCAACTTCTCATTTTAAAGATGAGGAACTGAGGCCCAGAAAGGTTAAATAACTCACCCAAGGTCACACAGTGGCAGAACCCGGCCTCAATCTCAGGTCTCCTGCCTTTGGGTTCAGTGTTTTTTCATTTTAAAGCACTACATTTATAGAAGACTTACAACTGGCTTCTGCTTTTATGACACGTGTTTCTCAGATATTTCAGTGAATATATACATATATATATGAAAAATGATCAAGAGTTCTATAGTTCATGAATTCAAAGACAAATCTGATTTTCAGTTTAGAAACGTTAATTTTCCTCCAAATTCAATATACGTGTTCTACTTTGTACAATGGATGTTTTCCTTAAAAGTTATTTGAAAAATGAATTTTTTGCATCAAATTCCATTTTTAGGAGAGAAGCTTTCTATGTAAGGGAATCTTTTGGTGATTTCTTTTGAAAAACAAAGAATCCTCTTGTCATTGTCCCCTAAAAGCCTCTACTTCTTCTTTTAGTGTGGACTTTTGTAATTGGTGTTTATTTAAAGTAGAGCAAGCCAATATAGGCTTTCCTAGAATCTACTTTATCTTTCCCTTCTTAAATTTTATGAGGTTTTCAGACTGTTACATGCTCATGAGATACTTAGTTGCGTCCTAGAAACTGCACCTAGCTTGATATTTTGTCAATCCCTGGGCTCAAATTCTATCTTCATCTTATCAACAATAACAGAATTCTCTAACCATATCGAGTTCTGCATGCAGTCTCTTTTCCAGAACATTCTTTGCCTAGTGCTCATTAGTCTAACTCTCTCTAGCTATTCTTGGGTTTCCCTCTATAGTTCATGCATACCTCATTATTCTGTGGAGTTGCAGGCAGTGGCCCTTTAGGGTTGTCTTAGTTGTATGGAGTGGTATTTCCAGTAATTTCCATTGTTCCCTTTAATTCTCCTGGACCTTTTTGGTTTCCCTTTTCAGGAATGCTCAGAGGGTGATGGTATTTTCCCCATCATTAGACCAGGGGTTGATAAATTATTTTTTTATAAAGGGCCAGATAGTAACTATTTTAAGCTTTGTGGGCCACATATGGCCTCAGTAGAAAATTGTTTTTTGTTGTTTGACCTTTCAAAATGTGTTTTTACACCTTAAACATGTAAATACTATCATTAGCTCTTGGGCCATAAAAGCCACAGGCTGGATTTGGCCCACTTGTCATAGTTTGCTGAGTCTTGGTCCAGACTATCCTCTGAGACTGGCATTTCTGTGACCTGTCCCATGTGATCACTGGTTTGTGTACTGCCTAATATGGCTCACCAACTTCCCATGTCCTGCATTGTCAGACAAGTCTTCACAGAGGTGGGTGGAGAACGGCTGCTTATGCCAACCAGTACTCTTCAGTAGGGTGCCCTTTATGATCTATCTATCTATCTATCTATCTATCTATCTATCTATCTATCATTCTCACTGACTGTCTTGGTGTAGGAACCCTCATTGTTTTCTCTGGCCCTCTTATCCAGGTTAGCCAATGTGCCTCTGCTTCCACGAATTTAAGGTAAGTTGGTAGGGAAGCATAGATTTCTGAGCTTTCTTATTTTTTTTGTCCCATCATTACCCCCAAACTGTGGTTCATCTGTCTCACTCTGCCTCATACTGCCATCACAAGCTTAGGGCTGTCTCTGGAGAGTCTGGTAGCTCAGGCCGTGAGACTCTAGTCCAGTATACAATTCCCTAGGAAAATCCCCAGCTCTCTTGGTTCCAATGACTGGTTTTAAAACTCAGAATGCCCACATGCCCATTTTCTAATGTGATTTGGACCTGTTCTAGACTCAACCCTAGCAAGAAAAACAAGAGTTATAGAAGGTATTCTGTGTCCCCAGCTTTCCCCGCCAAAACCTCCTGCCTCCTGGGTCCCTGCCCCAAGGGATGGGCTCCTTGGGATGCCCTGGGCAGCACCAAATCAGCAGGTATTCAACACACTACCACCTCCTGTTTCCTTCACCTCTAAAAGGATTTCTTAAAGTTCCTTCACATCTCTCTCCATCTTGCTCCATCTCTATCTGTAATGTTATTACTTGCAGGTCTAAATCTCAGAGTCACATGTTCATATTTGCTCATATAAACATGAGGAGAAATGAGTGAATGACAAGGTGTATGCCTATGTGTGCAAACGTGGTTTCTCCAGCTGGACTGTGAAGTCCCCATTCCCTAATATATGTATCTCACACACACACACACGTGCACACATGCCCCATCCACTGCTCACAGCAGTTCTCTGGTCTAGGTCCAGGTCTGATGGGGCTGGTCAAGGAGAAAGGGATTATGGTGACTCCTGAGGCATTTCCCTTTTTTCGTCTTTTCCACTGGCTTGTGCTGGCTTCTCCCAAGAAGCCGTTGAAGAAACTCTTCTGTGGCAGTTCTGAACAGGCCAACGCACAGAAAGCTATGACTTTCATTCATTAAGGACTTGGTCACTCAGACATACCTCTCAGGTTGCAGATTTTTCTATCTAAGCAAATTGCTTCTTAGGATCTTTAACTTACCATCTGTCATTTGAGCCCAGGGATCTACCCACTCACTGAAATCTAAGTTTTAAAAAGTCAAAGTTACTTTCAGGATTTCCTGATTTGAAAGCATCCATGAAACAGTTTCTTTCTGCCTTTTGTTTAGGGTTTCCAGGCTTAGGAAGGGAGCCAGGCTTGTGCCTTTGACTCTAAGGCAGCAAAAAAGCCACACTTGCCAAAAGCAAAATGAGGAAGGAGGATTGGCTAGTCCTATTATGCAGTCAGGAGATGGACTTTGGTGAAGTTAGCACTACAGTTCAATTCTCACTGAGTGCCACCAATGCACTTAAGGAAAATAAGGGAGACTGGAATTTACAAACCAATATCCTAAACTGGAAGGCAGAAATAAGGTAACCCCTTCAGTAATGAGAATGTGTCCATGGAAAAAAAATTCAAGAAGCAACAGAAACCAAGAAGGATTGGAATCCCAGTCTTGTTATAATTCCAACACAAAATGGAAGGGAGCCCTCTGTGGGGTGATATTACAAAGGGTTTTTCTAGTCGTTCTTTCTTTCTTTCTTCTTCTTCTTTTTTTTTTTAACAAAACCATTCCTTACTGGCTTGCTACCAGCAATTGAATTGTATTCTTTATATAGCTAGAGCTGTTTGTGTCTTCTTAAAATAAACAACTTCTGTTCAAATTGTTTTCTGTCTCCCCCTCTGGTTTTCATTTTAGCAATGATGCCTTTATTCAGTCACTAAGCCCAGTTTGTGAGCATGTTTTCCTGACCACAAAAGTATGGGGCCCACACACATGGAATCTAATTCTCATAAACTTCTGAGAGCCCTGAATAGATATGCAGGACACAGTGTGTAGCAGAAACCTGGCACACTGAGTTGGGAACCTCAGCCATACAGTCAGGTAAAGCATGTTCGAGGGATTTGCCTTGAGGATTTGATTTCAACTGCTCAAGGAGACAACAAGGGGCTGTGGGTGAGGCAAAGCTCTGGTGAAGTGGGCTGTCACCGTTGCCAGGCTCCTGAGGGAAGGAAGTTGCCTTAGCAACTGTGCTCAGGGCTGTTCTCCCTCTTTGTTCTCTGGTTCAATGAAGTCATCCAACAGGGCAGTCCAGTGTGAGTCTGGGCTGGGAGCAAAAATCGCAGACCTGATGTGGGCCAGATCACTTCCATCCCTCAGAAAAGGTATGGTCCTACCATTCAGGTGGTGACACCTATATTCAAGGGTCAATTCCCATGCAAATTCCCTTGTTTTCTGTTCCCAACTGGCCCAGACCTCTGAAATATTGTAGCCAGCATCCTTGTCTCCTTGGGCCCCATGCAGCTCATGTCCCCAGACAGCACCAGGCTGCTCTTCCAGAAAGACACAACAGAACTGGAAACAAGCTAGAAAGCTTACAAGGGAAGGGAGAGAGGCCAGGGCTACTCTCAGACAATAGCAAATATTAAGATTTAAGATAAAGGTCAAAAAAGGAGGCTGGGTCAAGGTGGGCCTTATTCAAGCAGTGCCTCGGTGGAACCCTGCAGTTCGGGGTCTAGTGTTCACCCTGTACCATGAGTTGGTGAAGCTTTTAGTATCTAACCCACAGCAAGAAAACTCAAAAGACATACCAAGGGCAGGGTTTGGTATAGTCATTAACCAAAGAGAGAGTACACCTTTAAAGCACAGGTCATCAACAAGGGGCTCAGGGGCTAAACTTAGCTTACACATGTTGTCCATTGCACAGAATGTTGTTTTTCAATTTTTAGAAATTTAGATAGGGCACAACCTCTCCAGTTCATCTAGTTCTCCACCACTCCCTGCTATATTCAATCCAATCAGCTTCATTCATTTATATCCTTGCCAGGCCCCTGAAATCACACAAGCCTGATTGTGTTGCTGCACATGTCAGTGTGTTGTTGCAGGTTGGGTTCCCAGGAAGCAGACTCTGGAATGAAGTTTGGTATGCAAGGTGTTTCTTAGCAAAGGCCCCAGGGATCAACATCTGTGCCAGAGAAGGGGAAGAAACAGGCTTAGGCAGGAGAGAATGGCACCAACACAGGCACCACAAAACCTTGGCTGATTCGATGGCAAGCCCTGGTGTCAAAATGACCTGTCAGAATTGTCCTGCACTGGGCCAAAGGCAGGCCTTTGTACCCTTCTCAGTCAGTAACTAGCCGTGGGTCAACCCACCAAGTCCCTGACCTTGGATGAGGTGAGTCTCTCCAGCTGAGGCAATCCCAGAAGAAGCTGTTAGCTAGAGAAGGTTCTTTGCTGACAGCACTCCCAGCAACAAGTCCACCCTTGAAGAGGGATCTGGGCAACAGAGTTCTGTGTCCCTTGCAAGTGTCTTGGTCCAAGGAGCACTGCAGGTTAAACACGTACAAATTCTTATTTTCTGATTCCCACTCCTTTTACAGTTGGTTTGATAGCTTTATCAAAGTTCATAGCTTTCTTAAATTGTAGTCCCCATCTGAGGATACATGCCAGTAGCCTTAACTGGATTTGGTGTTTCACAACCCTTACTAATGCCCATTAACAAGCCCTTTCCAAGGGCATATCATATATGCAAATGGATAAGTGAATCCATCATAACATACCAGGAATAATACTAGCATCTATCAAGCACTAGCAATCGATGAAGCACCTACAAGTGGGCCTGTATTCTGTGTTCCTCCATCCACTTCTTTTACTCATCCATGCGGTAAAAATGTAATGAGCTCCTTCCACATGGCCTGCAGAGTACTAGGTGCTGAGGGTAGAGTAGTGACTGATATAGACCCCAGTTTGGTGCTCATGGAGCTTACAATCCAGCGGGGCCACTGCTGAGACTAGTTCACTTGGCAGCCCTGCAGACCAGGACCAATAGGCTTCACATGTTTATTTTCTAGGGGTCTTCACCCTGGATATGAACTCCTCTGCTCATCTCTTTTCTCTCAGCACTTACCTTACACTATTCTAAGCTTCCAATCTGCTACTCAATCTCCCACCACTCCTTTCCTTCCCATCTTTTTTGAAAGTGTGCCCACTAGAACCCCAATTCTGGGGATGAATACTCTTACAACCCAAGCAGAAAGATCGCCCTGCCAACACCTTCCTTAACTGAAATGTGGCTCTCTCCTGAGAATCACGCTTCCTCTGTAGGCCTGTCCTCAAAGAGTCTTTCCCCTCTGTAAATACTTCTGCATCTGGAGGTACAGTGAGTCCCTTCCTTACTCCCCACTGCAACTTTCAGACTATAATTGTTGAACCTCTCAGTCACTCCCCTTCTTTCAGTTTTTCTTTCCACCACTAGACTTGTCAAATATAGGATCATTTCAAATTCATGTGAAAAAAGCCATTGCAAACCCTGGATTCTCATTTCTTTGGCCCACTCACCTCTGGTGACCTCCTGTTCTGCTCCAGCCATCTACTCTCAGGGTCACAAATGGACCTTGTTATCCTCCAGATCTGCTATATCACTGAAATCCTGACTTCAATCCTCCACAACCTTATATCTTTGCAATTCTCTCATTCAATTACACTGTTCAGCTTCATTGACACTTCCAGTAACTTAACCCATTCATTCAATGTTCAGTAGGCATCTATCACACACTAAGCATTCTGTTAAGTACTGGGTGTATAGCTTTGAATATGACAAACACAATCTCTGCTCTCATGGAGCTCAGTCTTATTCCTTATCTCTCAACCCTTCTCTCTATTTTAACTTCTCCCCAATTAGTTTAGGTCTAGCATTTTGACCACTATCTTTCAAACATCCTCAAGTGCTTTTGTTTTATTGCCCTTCCTCCCACTCACCAGGCACAACCCAACATAGGTCCATCCAACTGTCAAATTCTCTGTTCCCACACGGAGGCTGCTGGGGAAAAATATACACAGTCATGTAAACTGGTGCTCACTTACTGAAAGGGGACCTTCAGCTCTGCTCAAAAAAATTCTTCTGTTTCCATAATCAGCTCTCTTTCCTGTTCATCATGACCTCAAATCTCTACTCTCCTCAGACTTAAAACCCTCCATTAGCCAACCCCGTCCTGCTTGCTACCTCTCCAGCAGATGACTTAGCCTTTTGCTTCCCATACCAAGTAGAAGCTATCAGACAGGAAATTCCCTTACCTCCCTAACAACAAATCCACAGTCCCACATGTATATGCACATTTCCTTATCCCCTCTGTATCCTGTATCTGCAACTTCTCCTTTTCAGTGAACATTTGTTCCATGAATATTAATTGAGCACCTACTGTATGCTAAGCACTGTGCTGGGATCTGGGACTACAGTGGTAATCAAAACAGTCAGGGTTCCTGTCTTTAAGAACATTACATTGTAGTGTGAGGGAATGGACAGCACATTAGTAAACAAACAAGCATGATCATTTTAGATTATTAAGAAAAATACAATAGTATTTTATGATAGTAAACAGGACAACTATTTTGGATAAAGTGGTCATGAAAGGCATTTGTCAGGAGGTGACATTTGAGCTGAGGGAAATAAAGTTGTGTTTTGACCACATTAAGTTTGAGGCTTTTATTAGTGATACAAATGGAAATATCAGATAGACAGCAGGTTATATGAACTGGAGCTTAGGAGAGAAATCAGGGTTAGAGATATAAATTTGGGAGCCATAAGCATATAGGTGTATTTGATGCCATGG